AGAGGGAACAGGAAATGCAAAAATGCAAACATCCTAAGGGAATGTGTCTGGAGTGTTGGAGACCAGAAAGGAAGGTGTATTCTTGTTGAATAACAAATTGTCCCCCAAACTTAGTGACCTAAAACGACAATAAACGTCTCACACGCTGTCTGTGGGTCAGGAATTTTGAAAGTACCATTGGATTCACACTCCCTTTAGCTGTGGCTTCTTCCCTGTCACTCTGCCCTTCCCAAGTCTTTGTCCAAGCTATCTCTCTTTTCAGACTGGCACACAGCAGGGCCAGTGCCATTCGTGCTTATGGGAAGGAAGGAGTCCTCTCTGCCATGGCCTTTCTGGGTTCCTCTACCCAGCAGTGGAATCTAAGCCATTCAGCACCTTCTCCAAAACAGTGGTGCCCAGTATACCCTACCATTCACCAGTGAGAGCAGGTTGCAGACCACTACTGTCTTTCTTTTCTTTTTTTGAGACAGAGTCTCACTCACTCCAGCCCAGGCTGGAGTGCAGTGGCACGATCTCAGCTCACTGCAACCTCCACCTCCTGGGTTTCAGCGGTTCTCCTGCCCCAGCCTCCCAAAGTGCTGGGATTACAGGCATGAGCCACCACACCCAGCTAATTTTTGTATTCTTAGTAAAGACAGGGTTTCACCATGTTGGTCAGGCTGGTCTTGAACTCCTGACCTCAAGCAATTCACCCGCCTCGGCCTCCCAAAGTGCTGGAATTACAGGCGTGAGCCACCGTGCCCGCTCTACGTCTTTCTTAGAACTAGCACTGTATTGATCGAGAGGAGATGCCGACAGCGATTTCCTGCAGAAGTGACAGCCTCAGAGTGGGGTTCCCACAGAAAGGATGGTAGCAGGTCAGTGTAAACTGTGTAATCCCTATCTAGAACAACCAAAACCTCGGGGTCAGAAAAAGATAGTTTGTGGGTACTGTAGGACACATCTTTGAAAACTTTCGTCCCCAGGGAGAAACAGCTAAATGGGTGCAGCTACCTGGTTTCACCGCACAGACGCAATTAATTACTCAGCATCTCATATTGTAATGGGGCGCCCTGGGCATTTGGCTACACAGCGGAATGCCGCACCTAAGCGTGTGTGGCAGCCTTGGGGCGGGGCGGAGAGGGTTTGTAGCAGCGGCCCTGCAGCCACAGAAGGAGAGATGTCCTTTGAGGAAACCATGGCAATGTGTGGTCTTGTGGAGAGATGGGGTTTAGAAATTGGATGCAATTGACTGAAAACGGGAAGTGGGTGGCAGGAATCGGGTTTAGGAGTTGGGGGAGGAGAATCAGTTCTGGGATGTAGTGATAAAGAGGTCCAAGGAATGACTGGATGCAGATACTTGGTTTTCAATGATTCAGGAGTCCAGAGAACGCTATGACTGGTATGGGCGTCCCAGCGGGTCAGGTATCCGAGGTCTTGGAATTTGGGAGAGTGGTAGTCTCTGGGACATGGGATGTGGGGAGTCTAAGGAGTCAATAAGGGATCTAAAGTGTTGGTGATAGGTGACTTTTTTTATCATGGTAAAATACACAAATATAAAATTTACCATTTAAACCACTTTAAAGTGTGTAATTCAGTGACGTTTAGTACATTTACAAGGCTGTGCAAGCATCACTACAATCTAGTTCCAGAAAATTTTCATCACCCCAAAAAGAAACCATGTATCCATTAAGCAGTCACTTCCCATTCTTCCCACCCCTTCCCCAAACTCCTGGCATCCACTAATCTGCTTACTGTCTCTAGTCCTTAATGATTTGCCTATTCTGGATATTTCCTATAAATAGAATTACACAGTATATAGCATATTAACATAATGTCCTCAAAGTTCCTTCATGTTGTAGCATGCCTCAGTACTTCATTCCTTTTTATGGCTGAATAATATTCCATTGCATGGGTAATACCATCAGTTGGTGGACATTTGAGTTGTTGCCACCTTTTGGGTATTGTGAAATGTACTGCTATGAACATTCTTGTACAAGTTTATGTTTAAACACCTTATTCGGTTATTTTGGGTGTATACCTAGAAGTGAAATTGCTGGGTTATATGGTAATTCTATGATTAACTTATTAAGAAATAACCAAACTGTTTGTTTGTTTTTTTTTTTTTTTTTACAGTGGCTGTACCTTTTTATATTCCAACCAGCAATGCACAAGGGTTCCAGTTTCTTCACCACCTTGCCATCCATCATTTGTTATAATCATATGCCACATAATGATGTTTTGGTTAGTGAGGGACCACATATACAGTAGTGGTCCCATAAGATTATAGCAGAGCTGAAAATTTTCTTTTTATAAAATCGTATTATTATTATTTTTTCTTCCAACTCTCATGGAGCTGAAAAATTTCTACTGCCTAATGACATTTTGGTGATCCTGGCACTGTGTGTACCTATGCCAATGTGTTTGTGTCTTCGTTTTTAACAAAAAAATTTTTAAGAAATAGAAAATTTCTGGAGGCTGAGGAAAGATAATTGCTTGAACCCAGGAAGCGGAGGTTGCAGTGAGTTGAGATCACACCACTGCACTCCAGCCAGGGCGAGAGAGCAAGACTCTGTCTCAAAATAAAATAAAATAAAAATTTTAAAAAATTAAAAAAAATTATTTTAAGTAGAAGATTATAGAATAATGATATAAAGAAAATATTTGTGTACAGCTATACAATGTGTTTGTCTGAAGGTAATTTCTTACAAGAAAGTCAAAACATTTTTAAAAATTAAAAAGATTTATAAAGTAAAGAAGTTATAGTAAGCTAAGGTTAATTTATTACCAAAGAAAAAATTCAAATAAATTTAGTGTAGCCTAAGCATATAGTACATATAAAGTCTACAGTAGTATATAGTACTGTCCTAGCCTTCACATTCACTCACTGACTCACCTGGAATAGCTTCCAGTCTTGCAAGCTCCATTCATGGTAAGTGCCAGATGCAGGTATACCATTTTTTATCTTTTATACCATATTTTTACTGTACCCTTTCTATGTTTAGACATATTTAGATACACGAATACCATTGAGTAGAATCACCTATGGTATCCAGCAATTTGGATTTGTAGCCTAGAAGTGATAGGCTGTACCATATAGCGTAGATGTGTGCCAGGCTACATCATCTAGGTTTGTGTATGTACACTCTCTAATGTTTACATAATGATAAAGTCACCTAACCAGGCATTACTCAGAAAGTATCCATATCATTACACAATGCATGACCAGGTTTACATTCTGCTTTTTAAAAATCTTAAATTAGGCTGGATGTGGTGGTTCACGCCTGCAATCCCAACACTTTAAGACATCAAGGCAGGCAGATCACTTGAGCCCAGGAGTTCCAGACCAGCCTGGGCAACATGGCAAAACCCCATCCCAACAAAAAAAGACAAAAAAATTACCTGGATGTGGTGATGTACACCTGTGGTCCCAACTACTGGGTAGTCTGAGGCAGGAAGATTATCTGGGCCTGGAGAGGTGGAGGCTGCAGTGAGCCACAGCACTCCAGCCTGTGTGACAGAATGGGACCCTGTCTCGAAAAAAAGTCTTAAATTTATGTATCTTAAGAATATACATTAATATAGACTAAAGAGTTTAAATATCAAATAAAGAAGTTTTTTTTTTTCAGTTGAAACAATGTATCAGAGGATAAAAAAACCCATAAAATATTTGTTTAAATGTAAAGGATTTGTTTAATCTGCCCTATGAATTGAAATTTTCACAGTTAACGAGTACTATTTTTTATTTAAATAATAGTATGTATGTAACAGAAAAGTAAAGATGTGAAGTGTTGATGCTGTTTTTCAGCAGCAGAAACTGGAAAACATGCAGCCTCACGATTGTCATACTCTTTCGCCAGATCATTGCGTTGTTTGCCCAGGCACCCCTCATCCCATCTCTCTCCATCCCTTTTCTTACCTTTTCATTTTCCTTGTCTTTTCATTGGAGCATTTACCAATGTCTGAAAGTAGAATGTTGTTGTTGATTGACTCTCTCTTCAACTAGAACGTAAGCTATGAGCGGCCCAGCCTTTGTCCCACACACTGCAGTGTGCCCCACTTCTAGGAAAGTGTTCGGCACACAGTAGGAACTCAGTCCGCATTTCTTGAATGAATTAAGTGAGGTATACAGGCCACATTCTGAGCTGCTGGAGAAGCCAGTAGTTGATTACCAAACTCTAGTCCTTTATCTTGATGTCCTAATGTCCTGACTGATACACTCAGTTTGTAGGCAAATAGCTGGTGGGGTTTAGTAGTATGGGGTAGAATAAAGGGAGATGTAGTTGGAACCCTCTATCCACGTTATCTGCCCCATGAAAAGCTAGTTCCAGGCGTTGCCATCTCTGCCCCACACGGGGCTTGCGTTAGTCCTCGTTCCCGCCTTTTCCAGACAGCAGTGCGGAGAAGCAGGAGCCCCTGAGCTGGAGACGCAGGAATCCTGAGCCCTGGGAGGCCCAGATCGAAGGGAGGCAGTCAGCTCATGGAGCCGGGGAATGTTCTGCTGGAACCCCCCCCCCCCCCCACGAGGGTATCCGGTATGTTTCTGGGCAACAGCGACCCCTCCACACCTCACCAAACTGGATCCCCAGCCCCGCGGGACCCGATTCCGGCCTACCCCTCCAATCCGGAACCAAATCAGAAGAGCAGTCCCGAGTGCCCGCCTCACGGTCTGAAGCACCTCGTCCTACACCCGGACCCGAACACGAAGTCGGCTCAAGGAGGCACTGAGGTCAGGACAGTCACGCAGTCAGGATCCTGCGCCGCTTGTCGCATGCAGTCTCCTTCCCCGAACCGCCGCCTGCACGGCCTCCGCTGTCTTCCTATTGGGCTGCAGCCTGAGAGGCCTGACAATGGCGGCCCACAACGCTGGAACGCGAAAGCGCATGCGCCAGGCGCGATCACCAGGCGCCAGCGCTGAGGCGGGGTCCGGGGGGAGCTCACGTCACAGTGACCGCCGCCGTTGCCGGGGGACTGGCCCCAGCGGCTTGGCGGGGCAGAAGCCGTCTGCGGCAGTGCGTCCGCTCTCCGCCGGATAGTCGCCATGGTCACCGCTATCCTAGTCGTCGGGCAGGGCCGAACCTGGCTGAAGAAACCTCAAGCGGAGATTCAAGGAAGCACCACGTGATCCCTAAGGATCCCCAGGATGCGTCGGGCATGCCTAGATGGTGTGGGGGTGTGTCTCCTTGACAGCTGTCCCCGCGGGGATTTCAAGGTACGGCCTGTGTTTCCCAGGGCTGTTCTCTTCCCGGAAGGGGTTCCTGGCAGGGAGCAGAACCCCGCAGCCTCAGGAGCTGCTTGGCTGTGTGTGTTTCTGCGCGAGTGTTGGATGTCTCTGTGTGTGTCTGTGTGTGTGTTCGTGTGAGTGTGTGTGGTGTCCCGTGAAAGGAATGTGGCTCGAGCAGTGGAGCGCGGTTTCTCTGTAGTGCGCCTACTCTCTGCTGCGCCCCTCTCTTTGGCCGGGCTTGGGTTGCGGGGCCGAGCGTTCTTTGTTTTGCTCTTGGTTCCTAAAGCCTCGGTGAAGGGCGGGGGCTGGCTGAGACCCGCAGGCGTCCAAATCACCTCCCCACCCCAAGGGGGCCACTCTTCCAGAAAGAAGACGGGCACACCACACCCAAGAACAAATTCCTCCGGGGGTCCATGGTCCTGTGGTGCACCCAAGGCTGAACGGACCCTAGCGTCCTGTCCTCAGGACCCCCCTTGAGCCCGCTTCTAATTCGGTGACTGGCGGAACCGGAGCTTCAGGACGTGAGGCGGGCACTCCTTCATCCTCTTCGGATTTCATTCTGGATTAAAGCATGTGTGCAGAAAAAAAGGTCAGATGGGGGTGAGGATACAATCCGCTGAGCTGTGGAGGGCGTCTGGCACCTTCACCTGCAGAACAGGTGCAGAAAGATGTCAAAGAAACTGCTTCCAACGCCATCCCCTTTTCCTCTTCAGTGTACAACCTTGTCCACACCATGGCGCTGTGCTGGCGACAGAAGACACGAATTTCAGAGATCCTTTAGACCGCAAACTGTGGCCTTTCTTGCCAGGTCCCCTGTTGGACCCCGGTTCCCCGAGCCGCAAGGGAGTGGGATGGATTGATCCTGCCTGAGCTGCGGCCTCTACTCTGTCCTCCCTCTTTTCTTGCCTTCCCTGATGCTCGTGGGCCCAGGTTTTCCTTGGTCTGGCTCACAGTCCTCCAGAGTGTCCTCCACAGCAAACATTTCCCAGTTCGTCCAGGACCGCCTTGGCGGGGATGTACGTGATGAGTGTTTCCTTCTCAACACTCGCATTTCTTAATGACTGGATAGCTGTGACGCTCGTGGAACCGTGGGTGCCCGTAGCTTCCGCCAACAAGGAAACTCTTGGTCTCCCTGTTGCATCAGTTGGCTGCATGATTCACATAGGATGAGAGGTAGCCAGCCGTAGCTGGTCTTTGCCTTCTAATCAAGGCTATGTTTCATCTCATCTGCTGGTGTTTTCTCATTGTTGAGGGGTCTTCCATTGCTCTGTTCCTGGCTGGGACTGCCTCTCAGCACTGCACCTTTTGGTTGCCACGGATTTCACGGAGCAAAAGGGACTGGGGGTTTGCTGGGTGCAGGCCCGGTGGTGGGTTGTGATCCCGGTGTGGGAGTTGGGGTGGTTTGCAGTTTGCAGGATCCTCTTGGCTCCTCTGGCAGGAATCCCTGGACGAGGCTTGGACTCTGGCATAGGCCCTCCTGTGGTTCCAGGTGTGCTTTGTTTGTGCTTCGCTTTCTTGGACGATCCTCAGTGGTCCTCGGCTGCATGCCTGGACATCCCTTTCAGGCTTGGATTCACCCCAGAAGGCCTCTGAGACACTCTCTCCACCTTATCTGCCCCCATGGGATGCCAGTTTCAGGTGTTGCCACCCCTGCTCCACATTGGGCTTGCCTTTGTTCTTGTTTCCGCCTTTTCTCCACAGCAGTGCTGAGAAGCAGGAGGCCCTGGGCTTGGAGACCAGGACAGGGCCCTGAGAGGCCCAGGTCGAAGGGGGGCAGTCAGCGCATGGGGTGGGGGAATGTACTGCTTACACCCTCCACTGGGGTCTCAGATATGTTTTCCTGCCCCAGTGACCCCTCCACTCCTCACCAGATTGGATCCCCAGCCCCATGGGACCCGATTCCTGCCCACACCGTCCAATCCAGAATCAAATCAGAGAGCAGTCCTGAGTGCCCACCTCACGGTCTGTAGTGCCTCCTCCTCCACCCAGACCCGAACACAAAGTGGGCTCAAGTAGGCACTGAGTTCAGGATTGTCGGGGTCCTGCGCTGCTGGTCTCACTCAGACTCCTTCCTCCGGCCGCCGCCTGCACGGCCTCCACCATTTTCCTATAGGGCTGCAGCCAGAGAGCCCTGACGCTGCTGCAGCGCCAGCCGGGCACGCGAATGCGCATGCGCCATGGGCGCGTCACCAGGCGCGATCGCCGAGCCGGTGCTTGCGTCACAGTGACCGCCACCGTTGCCTGGGGACGGGTCGCAGCAGCTTGGCGGAGCAGGACCCCTCCGTGGCAGTAAGTTGGCGCTGGGCTGTGGCCCCTCCTCTCCGGGGGATCGTCGCCTTGGTCCCCCGGCCCTAGGAGTCCGGCAGAGCCAAACCAGGCTAAAGAAACCTCCAGCAGAGCTTCAAGGATGCACCGCGTGATCCCTATCGGATCTCCCCGATGCATCAGGCCTGCCCAGTGTTGGGGGCGCGTCTCCTTGAATGCTGTCCCGCCTGGGATTTGAAGGTATCGCCTGCCTGTGTGTCCCGGGGCTGCTCTCTCCTGGGAGGAGCTGCCTGGCTGTGTGTGTTTCTGCGCGAGTGCTGCATGTCTCTGTGTTTTTCTCTGTGAGTGTGTGTGGTGTCTGGTGAAAGGAATGTGTCTCGTGCAGTGGAGCGCGGTTTCTCTGTAGTCCGCCTACTTTCTTACGCGCCCTCTTGTAGGTTCCAGGTGTGCTTTCCTTGTTTTTCGCTTTCTTGGGGGTCATTGATTTCAGCTGTAAGCTTAATTCCTTTTTTGAGTCTCACCTGTTTTGTTTAAGGGGGAACTTAAATCATTGATGTGTATTTAAAAACATACGTTTCCCTCAAAGTGCTGCTTTAGTTGCATTCCACAAAATTTTATATGCTGTTTTTATTTTTGACTGCAAGTATGTATAATTTTTTACTTGTCCTATAGTTTACTTAAATGTGTGTTGCTTAATTTGCAAACATTTTTGAATTTTGACATTAATTTCTGGCTTAATTCTACTGTGGTTAGAAAACAGCTTTTCTGATTTCAATCCTTTTCAATATATTGACAATTTATGGCTCACAATATAAACAAGCTTGCTAAATGTTCTTTGTATAAGTGAAAACACTGCTTTCTGCTGCTCTTAGGTGGACTGTCTATAAATATCAATTACAACAAGCTGGTTATTAGCACCGTTCAAGTATCTTATATATTTACAGATTTTCTCTATACTTTTAAAAATTAATGAGAGACTAGTATTAAAATCTCAAAATATAATTTTGAGTTTGTCCATTTATTTTTATTTCTAGCAGTTTTTTATTTATTGTTTAGTTCTGGTACTAGGCACAAATACTTGTATGATTGCTTTGTCTTCTCGGTCAATACACTTCTATAGTATTGTAAAATATGCCTTTTTAGAAGAAAGTCCCTGGTAATATTCCTTGTTTCAAAGACAATTTGTTGTGAAGGCTGGGTGCAGTGGGTCACGCCTGTAATCCTAGCACTTTGGGAAGCTGAGTTGGTCGGATCACTTGGCGTCAAGAGTTTGAGATGAGTCTGGCCAATGTGGTGAAACCCGATCTCTACCAAAAATACAAAATTAACCGGGTATGGTGGCGTGCGTCGTCTGTAGTCCCAGCCACTCGGTAGGGTGAGGTAGGACAATCGCTTGAACTCGGGAGGTGGAGGTTGCAGTGAGCCGAGATGGCGCCACTGCACTCCAGCCTGGGCGACAGGGTGAGACTCTGTCTCGAAAAAAAAAAAAGGCAATTTGTTTTATATTCACATAGCCATTTTGGTATAATTAGTGTTTGCATGGTTTTTTTTTTTTTAAACTTTTAACCTATTCGAGTTGGTATATACTTTTGACTTTTTAACCTGAGTCTTCATATTTTAATCTTTTTTTTTACATAACCTAACTGTTTGGGCGAGGGGGAAGGGACAAGATGGCAGAAGGTGAACAAGATGGAGCAGTCCCTGTTGTTTCCGGGTTCTTCATCACAGATTTTCCCGCGCCCGGGAAAAGAACCAAATCAACTGAGCATGCGCAGAGTGACGTCAAGCCGGGGACACCGAAATTCAAGAAGCCACTCCTACACACATGCCCCCAAACTCCTCCCCCTCCAGCTCCCAGGCATAAAAGTCCGCTGCCTGTAAGCGCTGGTGTGACTTCTTCGGCCCTCGCATTTGTGGACCGGAGAACATCACCGGAGACCGCCCGCGCGACTTCCCTGGCCCCCCACACCTAAGGACCAGAGAACCTCCCCCGAGAGTGTGTGCATATTTGCAATAAAAGACTGCCACTTTCTTACGTACTTTGGCCTCATGTTTAATTACTTAGCTCTCCTAAATTAAGTTACATTAAATTAAATTAAAACACTAACATCTTTTTTTTTTGAGACACAGTCTTGCCCTCGTCACCCAGGCTGGAGTGGAGTGGCATGATCTCAGCTCACTGCAACCTCTGCCTCTCGGGTTCAAGCGATTCTCCTGCCTCAGCCTCCTGAGTAGCTGGAATTACAGGCACCCGCCACCACGCCTGGCTAATTTTTGTATTTTTAGTAGAGCTGGGGTTTCACCATGTTGGCCAGGCTGGTCTCAAACCCCTGACTTCAGGTGATCCACCCACCTTGGCCTTCCAAAGTGCTGGTGAGATTACAGGCATGAGCCACTGCGCCCGGCTTTCTTCTGTGTTTTTTACTGAAGTATTTAGGCCATTACCATTGTTTGTAATTATTGATATATTTGGGTTTGTAACAATCAACTTGCTCTTTATTCTGTTTATCTATCCTTCATTTTTCTAATTTTCTGCCTATTTTCGTAGTTTTTAAAATTATATTCTATTTTACTTCTACTGGCTCATTGATTACTTTTTAGAATTTTGCATGCTTTTTTTTCATAGAGCCTTTCAACATTCATTTTTAGCTTTCAATGTCTAGTTTTATGTATTATATCCTATCATATATTTTGTTGGGGTCTTACACAAATAATACTTCCATTCCACCTTCTCACCTTTTGAGCCGTTTTCATATTTTAATTGCCACAAATATTACCATCCCTATAATACATTATTGCTTTTGCATTAAAAACTCAATTACTTTTTCAAGAGAATATGAGGAAAACAATAATATTTACCCACATTTAACTTTTCTGTTAATTTCCATTCCTGTGTATGAATCCACGTTTCCATCTGCATCTGTTGGTGATGAATTCTCTCACCGTTCATTTCTTTTTTCATTTGAAACTATTATTTTAGGCTCAGGGAGTACACATATAGGTTTGTCACATTGGCAAAATGCATATCCCTGGGGTTTGGTGTACAAATGATTTTGCCACCCAGGTAGTGAGCATAGTAGCTGACAGTTTTTTGACCCTCACATTCCTGCCGCCCTCCACTCTCAAGCAGGCCCTGGTGTTTATTGTTCCAATCTTTGTGTCCATGTGTACTCAGTGTTTAGCTTCTACTTATAAGTGAGAACATACAGTATTTGGGTTTCTGATACTGCATAAATTCACTTAATGGCCTCCAGCTATGCCCATGTTGCTGCAAATAACACAATTTCTTTTTTCCCTGAGGCTTTAGCTTTCATTTGTTTACAAAAGTTTTCACTTTTTTCATATTATTACCAAGTGCAGAAATACCAGATAGAGTTTCCCCTCTATTCCTTTCTCTGCTTGCATACATTCTCACAAGAAGTTTATGAATCTTGTTACTTTTGTCCCCATGAATGTATCTTTTTTCCATCAGGCTGTTCTCAAGATTTTCCTTTACCACTAGTTTTCAGCAATTTGTGTTGTGTTTAGCCTTGAATTCCTTGAGCTTCTTAGATCTATGGGTGATAGGTTCCAAGAAATTTGGAGTATTTTCAACCATTGTTTTTTCATATTTTTTCTGCCTTCTCCCCACTTCTGAGACTCACATTTACATATATCTTAAACTGCTTTATATTTTCCCACAGATCACTGAGACTCTCTTACAGTGTTTTTCCCTCTGTGCTTCATTTTTCCTGGTATGTTCTCAAATTTACTGATTTTTTTTCTCCCAAAAATTGGTGTTTAATCTCCAATAAATTTTCTCTTCAGATATTTTTCTTTTCCAGAAGTCTCACTTTGTTCTTTTCTCTTCCATTTCTCTCACTGTGTACATGCTTAAAAAAAAAAAACCTTCAGGATGCTGCAGTTTCTTTAATATTGTTATGCTAATACCATCTCCCCTGCCACTTGCATCTGGGCTGACATTTTTTCCTATTTGGGTCACATTTTCCCACTTCTTTATATAGACACGGGGCATTGTAAAATTTACAGTTAAGTGGTAGATATTGTTACACTTTTCTAACAATGTTGAACTTCATCTGTAGGCAAATACTTGTGAAGTGGCTTGATCCTTCTGAATTCTTTAAAAAGCAGTTTACAGAAGAGCTGAAGTCTTTACTTTAGAGACAGTTTAGCTCTGCTCCTAATGTGTGACCTTTCTGGGATTTCCACTGAATAGTGTGGGTGATCACTGGTCAGAATTAGAACCTTTCTTGGCCACATGTGAACTGTGGACAGTTTCCAACTTGCAGCTCCCTGACTGCACTTAGTGCCCAGTCAGGTGGAGGAACTGCACTCTACACATGTACTATTTAATATTTTCAAAAGACGCCAGAAAAATCCCTGTGCACATTTCTGAAAATCTTTTCTGTTTATCTCCTTCCTCTGCGGAACTCTGCCCTGTACCAGCTAGCATAGTCTCTTTGTTATCTTCTCAACACAGTAAGAACTTCACGTTGTTTGGGATCAGCTTTCTCATTATCCAGAATGTGTCTCCAAGTAGAAAGTTTGTGTGACTATTGCACAACTTCACTTTTATATATAGAGAGAGTTTCACTCTGTCACCCAGGCTGTAATGCAGTGGCATGATCACAGCTCACTGCAACCTTCACCTCCCTAAGCTCAGGTGATTCTCCCACCTCAGTCTCCCACGTAGCTGAGAATACAGGCATGCACCACTACACCTGGCTAATTTTTGTATTGTTTGTAGAAATGGGTTTTCACTATGAGTTGCCAAGGCTGGTCTCAAACTTCTGTGCTGCAATGATTGCCTTGGCCTCCCAAAATGCTGGGAACACAGGCATGAGCCACCACGCCTGGCCCACATGATTCTCTTCTGTCAGGGATCACAGTCCTTATACAAACCAATTATTCCATCATGGCTCCAACAGAAGCTCATGTTTTTTGACACTGGTGATGTCACTGGAAAGAAACCCTCACACATTACTGGTGAGAATGTAAACTGACATTTTCAAAAGTAATTGGGCATAATCTATTAAAATTTAAAATGCACACATACTTCTTACTTGGCAGTATAATCAATTGTAATATATTCTATATAAACAAAATCCAAGAATAAGCATATAAAGATATTATTGCACTAGTTTGCAGAAACAGAAAACTCAACCTGAAAGCTTAGGGGGAATGGATAGAGTTATCATGGCATTGCTGTTACTAGGTTGCTACATGTAATTCTGCAGACATTTTGAAAAAGACAAGCAAGGTGCACAAGACAAATACCAATAAAATGTAATGTACAGACCTTATTTATATCTGGACTCAAACCAACTATTATTGTGAAAGGTTGACTTCTCTGTTCAAGATATATACTGAAAATATATAGGGGGAAATGGTATATAGCATACTGGTTGTCTTTAATATATCCCAGTGAAAACTTATTGGGAGATAAAACAAGAAAGGCAAAAAATAGTGTGATTATTAAAGAGGTTTTGGGTACACAGTACTATTTTATTTTTGCCTATGTTTAAAATTTTCTAAAGTTAAAACAAATTAAAGTGACAGATATATTTGCAGTTATCCTATTATAGTATACTGTTACTAGACTGAAATGAGGCCCATACTTGAGCACAGAAGAAAACATCAAAAAATAAACACCAAAGTTTTAACAGATGAGTGCAATACAATGAAGGTGGTTTTTAAAAAAATTTTTAGCTCGGCGTGGTGACTCACACCTGTAATCCCTGCACTTTGGGAGGCTAAGGCGAGTGGATCACTTGAGGCCAGGAGTTTGAGACCAGCCTGGCCAACATGACAAAACCTCGTCTCTACCAAAAAATACAAAAATTAGCCGGGCATGGTGGCAGGCACCTGTAATACCAGCTACTCAGGAGGCTTAGGCAGGAGAATTGCTTGAACCCGGGAGGCAGAGATTGCAGTGAGCTGAGATTGTGCCACTGCACTCCAGCCTGGGTGACAGAGTGAGGCTCTGTCTCAAAACCGAAAAATAAAAATATAAACGAAAATAAATTTTACACTATTTCCTTGGTATAGGATAAAATTCATATGTAACTTTGTAAGATAAATGTAATGATTTTTTTTTTAAGATGGAGTCTTGTTCTGTTGCCCAGGCTGGAATGCAATGGCATGATTTGGCTTACTGCAACCTCCCCCTCCTGGGTTCAAGCAATTCTCCTGCCTCAGCCTCCCGAGTAGCTGAGATTGCAGGCATGCCACCACCACACTCGGCTAATTTTGTAATTTTAGCAGAGACGGGGTTTCACCATATTGGCCAGGCTGGTCTTGAACTCCTGACCTCATGATCCGCCAGCCTCAGCCTCCCAAAGTCCTGGGATTACAGGTGTGAATGTAATGATTTTTTTAAAGAAAAACATTGATGTAAAGAAAGAAAAGTTTCATTTTAAACAGTTACGATGGTAACAAAACTCAAAGGAGCAACTAAAGCAGTGCTGCAACTTTTGTCTGCCTTAGTAATTCTCTGATTAGTGTACATTCCTACCCGCTCCCAACCATTTTGAGATAAATTTATCTGAAAACATGATTTATGAAATAAACATAAGTGCTGAAAGAGTTAACAGTTATTCAGGTTTCTCCTTTTAAACAATCTTGTAACAACAGAAAAAGCCTTGGTCAGGTATGGGGGCTCATGTCTGTAATTACAGTACTTTAGGAGGCCAAGGCAGGAGGATCACTTGAAGCCCAGGATTTGAGACCAGCCTGGGCAACAAAACAAGACCTTGTCTCTACAAAAAAAAAAAAAAAAGAAAGAAAGAAAAAATTTAAATTAGCCAGGTGTGGTGGTGCAAACCTATAGTCCCAGCTACTTGGAAGGCTGAAGCAGGAGGATCACTTGAGCCGAGGAGTTTGATGCTGCAATGAGCCATGCCACTGCACTCCAGCCTGGGTGACAGAGAGCCCACCTCTAAACAAAAAAAGACAAAACCCTTATAAAATTGATCTGGACAATGATGGAGTGTAGAGGACTGCAAAAACCTGAGCTACAGAAAGTGCTCCTCTCTAACGCAGTCCATGATGGAAGAACAGAAAAGCACTATATCATCCATCAAATTTAAATAACTGACATAATGCCTAAAATTCCCCCTTACCATCATTCTTTATGGTTAAAAAGGAATTCTCAAAGTGTGTTCACAAGCCAAAGATATTAATAAGCATACAGAAGAGAAAGGATTAATGGTCAGGACTGGGAAACAATGGGTTAAACAAAAGATAGTATTTTCTTTACTGCAGGTCTTCTCAACCTTTTAATTTGGTTTGTTCAAAGTGGAATTCACAATGCCAGTAAGGAAATTTGGTTATGCACTGTATCATACGCAATGAGGTAGAACCCTTTCTAGGTATTTTGGGAATTATTTCTTGAACATATTTTTGAAAAGTCTGGCTCAAGATATTGTTTGCAAATGGCAGTTAATATACAAGTATGTTTCATTGTAGAAGGGCACCTAACAGTCTACTGACATTTAACTTTTCCTTTAAATTTATAATTTTGCAATTATGTTAATGTCTCAATTGTTAATGACTGAGCAATGAGGGCATAACTTATCCAATCTGAGCAAAATGTACTTTAGAGATGAAGAATGCATGAGTGTTGTGGCATCATGGTGGTTACACTGATTATTCAGAGTTCTAATGATTCTGTTACCAATTTTTTTTTGACAATTTTTAAAACAGTGAATTAACATTTAGATTATAATCATATACTATATACAATCAGTGGTTTCCAGAGTGATGATAATTCAGTGGGCTGCAGTGTTTATTAAAGATAATGTAGGCTGGGTGCAGTGGCTCATGCCTATTATAATCCCCGCAATTTGGGAGGCTGAGGCGGACAGATCCACCTGAGGTCAGGAGTTTGAGAGCAGCCTGACCAACATGGAGAAACCCTGTCTCTACTAAAAATACAATAGCCAGGTGTGGTGGCGCACACCTGTAATTCCAGCTACTTGGGAGGCTGAGGCCAGAGAACTGCTTGAACCCGGGGGGGTGGAGATTGCGGTGAGCCGAGATTGCACCACTGCACTCCAGCCTGGGCAACATGAGTGAACCTCCGTTTTTTTGTTTGAAACAAATAAAAAAAGATAATGTATTATTAGAAGACAACAGATAACACTGCATATAGAAAAGGTAAGTATTTCTTGGGAACATTTGTTTTTCTATGAACAGCTTTGTACACAGTAACTCAGTTTTGAGGTCTTGAGTTCTGAGAATACTGTGCACCAGATGGTTGGAATCACAGAACTGTAGGCATTGATTGCTGCTCCAATATATTATTCTCACTCACCTTCACTCACTGAATACCATTAACCTCTTCTGACCGTCATTAATTTCTGACCATCAGTCCTCACTCAACAACATTCTAATTAATAAGTTCAAATTATTTAAAGCTGTTTTTATCTGTCATTTGTGTCCATTATATACTAATATATTACATTTATTGTCACTATAGTATCTGTTCCTTAAAGCATAGAAAGCAAGCATAATTCATACGTTAATAGTTTTCAAAATCACTGCATGCACAAACATATCTGGTAATTAACTGTTAACTGGCTTTTGAGTGTTTTACATTATTCAGAAATCCCTGATAGAAGTCATTTAGGTGGTTTAAGTTGAATTCAAATTGAAATTGGTTAGGATTTTTTAATGAACTGAAAACATGCTATTTTTCCTATTTAAAATAATAGGGCCAAATAAAAATAATACAAATAAAAAATAAAATAATGGCTCACATTTGTAATCCCAACACTTCACGAGGCTGAGGTAGGTAGACTGCTTGAGCCTAGGAGTTTAAGACCAGATGAGGCAACATAGTGAGACCCCATCTCTAAAAAAAATTTTTTTTAACCAAGCCAGGCATGGTGATAAATAGCTATAGTGACAGCTACTTGGCAGGTTGAGGTTGGAGGATTGCTTGAGTCTAGGAAGTCAAGGCTGCACTGAGCTGTGATTGTGCCACTGTACTCCAGCCTGAACAAGAAACAGCAAGACTCTGTCTCAAAAAAAAAAAAAAAAAAAGCCAAAAAGCTAAAAAAATGGAACGTAGGCTCTGAGATCTGGGTCTCTAAAAGTTTACCATTCAGTATATCAGAAATGGGTTAGATTCAAATGAGGAAAAACTGTAGTCGGTAAATTTTGTTTATATTTCCATTTAAGGCAAATACAGAAAAACAACAGCCCTAAAGCAATTTCTGCAAGTTTCTTTTTGGCATTATCTGATGCTGCAAAACTGATGTGCTCTGAAGTCCTTCATATCTTTACTACACTCAAAAGGTTTTGTTCTAAAATAAAGTATCTGTTGTTCTAAAAGGGATACATGATAAGAGAATGGTTGCATCCTTTTATTGTAATCATAAACTATTCCCACCATTTGAGTTCTCTAACAGTATGTAATGATGATAATGGCAATCATTTAAAAAATAAATATCAGATACTATCCAAAGGGAATTATATGTATTTAATTATAATTTAGTCATTGTAATACAATTACAGTATTTTACAAATAGAAAAAAACACACAAATATATCTGATTTCAGTTAGGATATGGTGAAATGGAGATGATGCTTAATAAAGGATATAATTCGGCATTATATTCTAGGGTTTATAGAGATGTTAATTATTTATAAGGGGTTTCTGAAATTATTCTGCATCCATGTTAATACAGACCTTCTAAGAATGAGTAGATTCTGAGCAGAAGCAAAAGGATGTCCCACATTCAGTACAGATATGAAATAGATGATGAAGATTTTCTTATATTTAATCACATTCAAGGCTTTCTCAATTATGAAGCCTTATATGTTGAGTAAGTTGTGAAGGACGTCTAAACTCTTTACCACACTGGACACATGTGTAGGGTTTCTCACCAGTATGGATCCTTTGATGCAGAGTAAGTTCTGAGCCACGACTAAAGCCCTTCCCACATTCCTTACATTCATAGGGTTTCTCTCCAGTATGAGTTCTCAGATGTTCAGTAAGGTGTGAGCCACGAATAAAAGCCTTCCCACATTGTTTACATTCATAAGGTTTTTCACCTCTATGAATTCTCTGATGTTCACTGAGTTGTGAGCCATATATAAAGGCCTTGTCACATTCCTTACATTTGTAGGGCTTTTCACCTGTATGAATTCTTTGATGATATGTAAGTTGTGTAGCACGAACAAAAGTCTTCCCACATTCCTTACATTCATAATGTTTCTCACCATGAATTTTCTCATGTTGAGTAAGATAGGCAACACGAATAAAGGCCTTTCCACATTCCTTACATTCAAAGGGTTTCTCACCTGTATGAATTCTCTGATGTTCACTAAGTTGTTTGCCACAAATAAAGGCCTTTCCACATTCCTTACATTTGTAGGGCTTCTCTCCGGTATGAATTCTTTGATGCTGAGTAAGATTCGAATTAGAAATAAAGGCTTTCCCACATTCTTTGCATTTATAGGGTCTCTCACCTGAATGAACTCTCAGGTGGTAAGTAAGTTGTGAGCCACGAAAAAAGGCCTTCCCACATTCTTTACATTCATAGGGTTTCTCACCTGTATGAATTCTCTGATGTTCATTCAGTTGGGAGGCACATAAAAAGGCTTTCCCACATTCTTTACATATGTAAGGCTTTTCACCAGTATGAACTCTCTGATGATATGTAAGGTGTGAACCAAGAATAAAGGCCTTTCCACATTCCTTACACTCATAAGGTTTCTCCCCACTATGAATTCTCTGATGGTAAGTAAGTTGAGAGCCAAGAATAAAGGCCTTCCCACAATCCTTACATTCATAGGGTTTCTCACCACTATGAATTCTCTGATGAAGAGTGTATTGTGAACAATAACTAAAGGCTTTTCCACATTTCTTACATTCATATGGTTTCTCTCCTGTATGAACTCTCTGATGTTCAGTGAGCTGTGAACCACGAATAAAAGCTTTCCCACATGCGTTACACTGATAAGGTTTTTCATTAGTATGAATTTTCTGATGTTGAATGAGATCAGAACTACGACTAAAGGCCTTTCCACATTCCATACACTCATAAGGTTTCTCACCAGTCTGAATTCTCTGATGTTGCATATAGTTTGGCTTTTTGCTAAAGGTGTTCCTATGTTTCTTAACTTCAAAGCATTTTTCTATATTATGATTTTTCTCATGTTGAATAAGGCATGACAGGTAGCTGAAACCTTGTCTACATTCCTTACATTTGTACAATTTTTCCTTGGTAGGAATTATCCGATGAAAAGTAGAAGAGGTTGAATGGCTTTCAGTGGCCCTTTCTTCACAGGTAATTTTGACACACATGTAAAGCCCTTCCTGACTTGCTTCTTGACCCTCTAAGTTGCCTTTGCACTCCATATTGTCTCCAAGACCATTGTACTGAAGGTGATGGTTGATAAGTTTCCCCATATTCTCCCACTGGAGTGATTCCATTTCATAAATTTCCTTTTCTGGAGATAACTCTTTGGTCGCACGACTGGATTCCAAGTCTGTAGAATAACAAGAAAACAAATTCCTGCTTTTGTTTACAAGGAGAAATAAAAATTCTATGGTAAAAATGATAGATGAAAATAATTCTCATAAGAATAGAATGGCTTAAACAGTACAGAAATATTTTGTGCCATTTTTCTTTAAAGGCACAAGGAGAGAATAAAGAAAAAGGAGAGCTTATAGGAAAGAAGATAATTAGAAAAATAGGTTAAGTCAGTGGTTCTCAAACTTTGGAATGGCTTAGAAACACCCAGGAGGCTTATAAAATAATAATAAAAACACCCTCTTGAAAACAGATGTCTAGCTGGACATACAATCTGTCAACAAATCCTATCAGCTCTCCTGTCAAAATTAAGAATCTGACCACCTCCACTACCACCACCCTAGGCCAAGTCACCCATCTCTCATTGTCATAACCTCTTAGCTGGTTTCTCTGCTTTCATCCTTGCTTCTATGATCTATTCTTCATACAGTAGCCAGAGGAATTCTTTCAAAATGTGGTTTATATCATGATTCCCCTGCTAAAAATCTTCCCCATTAATAATGTGCCATCTCAGGATAAAATCCAAAGTCCTTAATATGGCTCACAAGACCCTACATGAACTTGCCCATGGCCACCATTCTTATGTCATCTCCCCCCTTGGCCACTTTTCTGATATCATCACCTACCACTCTGCTCTGGTCATAATGGCCTCCTTGGTGTTAAAAAGTGTCAAGCATATGCTTCTCCGTTTACAGTTTTGTTTTTAGAATGCCCTTCCTCTAGATACACGCATGGCTTGCTCCCTCATTTCAGTTTTCTGCTCAGCTGTCACATTATCAAAATACCCAACACACAATTTTACCTATATTGCATTTTTCACTAATGGATGTACCATTTCTAAAGTTTGACTACTGTCTCTCTGTCCCATGCTTAATCAAAGCAGGGACTTCATTTCATATACTGCTTTATCTCTAGTGCCTAACATCATTACTTACACATTTGTTGGCATTCAATATTTGTCAATAATTTTTAAAATGTAAATGTTCCCTTTATTCATAAATCTCCTTAGATGCTTCTCATACAACACAAAGTTTGAGAATAGAGCTAATAATCTTTCAGTGGTTTACCCTTGTACTTGGAACAAAATCCAAATTACTATTCATGGCCTACAAGCCCCTTTTATGATCCAATTCTTTCTTAAATTTCTCCAACTTCTTCAAAATTACCTTTTAAGCCTCATTTTGAGCCACTGCTATCTTCAGGAAGAGTGTTCTAATCTTATTGGCCTGATTTAAGCTCCAAGAACATGTCAAATTCTTTCCCATTTTAGATTTTCCATATGCTGTTCCATCTGCCAAGAATGCTGTCAAAGTGGCCACCTCCTTTGTGTGTGAAATGTCCTAGCTTAAATGTCAGCTGCTGAGAAAGACTGTCCTGGATTACTTTAGTTAGGTCCATGCCATGTATTTTCTATACCTGTAATTTATTCCTAATTCTTGTTTGAATTTTTGCAATTCTAAAATTTCATTTATTTATCTGATCTTTCCACTCCTCAAGCTCTACATGTGTAGAGGGAAAATGAATGTTTTATTATATAGCTAGTCCCCAGAACACAGTATACATACAATGTTTTATTTCTTTAATATAGTTTTTCACATCTTTCTTTCCATGTCTTACTTAAGGCCAAATGTTCTTATATTTCCCAAAGAAGTACCTCAAAATGTCCTGTAAATAGTGAAAAGTTTACACAATAAAGGTGTTATATCATTCTGAACAAAGAAGTTGGGAAACAAGTGTACTTTTCAAATGCAGAGAAACCTATCTGATGTAACTGGATCAGCAGGCACAGGGTCTCTGACCACTGTGTATATAGGTTGTAGAATAACAGAGACTGGTAATGGGAAGAAAAATAAATACACATCAGTAAGTTCAAATTTAAACAGTCTTTTAGAAATAAGCCTCTGAAACTTGAGAAAACACACTTTTGCTGAAAAGCAAAAAGAAACTGTAGAAACAAAAGCAACTACCCCCCGCCCACCTGCCATATGCACAGCACAGCTCAGTTTAACACCAATTCATGTCAGCAACATATCATGGAAAAAGACCCTGCTTTTATTTTGTTTCTTTCATAGAAGAACAATATGGTTTATAAAACACTTTGAAATAAATCAATGGGCTTATGGTGATTAAGCGAACACTATAAGGAATCAAATAAATTCAGCTGGGACCCAAAACAGCTACCTATGTGCTGGTGCCCTAATAAAAATGGGAAGAAATATAAATCTAATATGATTCTGGGGTAGGAGGCACTATGAGAACACAGGAAGGTGCTACACAGAAATCTAGAGGAATAAAGAAAAAGTTAAGATTAAAATACGAAAGTCTCAGAACCGTACCCAGAATGAGGAGTACATATAAAAATGTATTCAATTAACATTTAGCAGCTCTTTTTATTGTCAGTAATGAAAAACTATATGGTGAAAAAAGGGAAAACTGCAAAAGGGGTGATGAGTGAAGACAACAAAATGGAGTCTGAAAAGGAGTCCTCATTTTAGGAGGTTTCTTTTATTCTAGCCCCTATCAAGTCCTACTGAATGTATCTCCTAAGTAGCTGTTGAATCTGTTACCTTATCACCAACACTACTGCTGACACTCAGGAAGCCCAAAGCATTTTTTTTTTTTTTCGAGACAGAGTCTCGCTCTATCATTCAGGCTGGAGTGCAGTGGCGCCATCTCAGCTCACTGCAACCTCCGCCTCCAGATTCAAGCAATTCTGCCTCAGCCTCCTGAGTAGCTGGGATTACAGGTGTGCACCACCATGCCTGGCTCATTTTTGTATTTTTAGTAGAGATGGGCCTTCACTATATTGGCCAGGCTGGTCTCAAATTCCTAGTCTCAAGTGATCCACCTGCCTCGGCCTCCCAAAGTGCTGGGATTACAGGTATGAGCCACTGCGCCTGGCCCCAAAGCATCCTGAACCACAACAAAAACCTACTCAGTAATGTTACAAGATCCTTTGTTCTAATCTCCATCTGGCAGACAGAATGGAATAGTAAATATGAAAATCACATTATGTCACCATCTTAAGATTCTTCAACAGCCTGCAAAAATTTGGGGGATAAAATCTGAACTCTTCTGCAGTATTTTTCAAATTTCTTTTGACTGCAACCTCATAGCAAGAAACACGTATTATGACTGAGTACACACACAAACATAAAACAAGGATGTCATAAAATTCTCTTTGCTATATGTATTATATATTCATATTTTGTTATTTTATCTCCTGTTTTATTAAAAACAACAAGTGCTGCTTATAACCTTCTAGGTCGTATTCACAACCTCTAGCAGGTTCTGCCTGGCCTGGCTCCAGTCAGCCTCTCCAACTCCCTTGTGGCACCTCTGCCTCACTAGACTCCAGCTGCGAAGGCCTTCTCTCAATACCTCATATACACCAAGCTCCATCCTCCTATGGTCTTCAGTACACTGTCACTTCTGCTAGGAATGCTCTTCCCTCTTCTCTCCACCCTCAGTCTCCTTACCTGCTTTTCATTCTTTCAGGGCTCACCTGAAACTTCATGTACCATTGCACTTCCTGAGAAGCTTCCCCAATCCCAGACTCCTAGCAATGCTGTTCCAGTAATCTCTCCTCTGTTAAGACAGCCACTCCACCCACTGCAGTTTACAAGCAAAGCCTCCACAGCTCTGGGTGCTGGTAAGACCTCCACATCCTGCTATTAAGGCTGGCTTCTCCATGGAGATCTCAATTTCCATAAGCTCTCAGTGTCATAGCCCTACTATCCTTAACTTATAAAAGGAATAACCATCCACCTTCCCCTAAAAGACCACTAGAGGCCAATCCTGTAATGCCTGGTATCTCTGACTTATCTCAATACTCTCAAAAGCCTTGGCTTCCTGGGTCCTTGGTCATCCATGTCCTACTTCACTTATCCCATCCATGTCCTACTTCACTCCAAACTATGCCTTTTGGAATTCATCGTGTACTTTCTACAAAATCCTCTACAACTTCTGCCCCCACTCTGATTATTTTCTTCACCTTCTTGATCCTATTGAAACTTTGAGCATGCTACTTGGCCAGAAACAATGTTTTCCTTCATGTCTTTCCCTCCGCCTTGCTTCACCTAACCTCTCCCAAGATAGACATAATTATAGCAAGTCAACACCAACTCACCAAGGAATCAGATATACAAAAAAAAATTCAATGTTAATTTTTCAACAAATATTCCTAATCATGACATTTACCGTCATAGAACTAATTGTATTCTATAGTCTCCTTGAAGCAACTCTAATTCAAACTCTAATTGTTATTACCCAATGAGAAAGCCAAACAGAATGATTAAACACAGGACTTTCATTTCCTGTTTTATACACTGATTGGCTCTTTACCCCTACTTATAGAATTAATCTATATCTAAAACACCATGGATTCATTAAATATTTTAACAACCTGCTATTGAATTCAAATACTACCAAACTCCTGAATAGTCTCGTATAAATAGAAGGCATTATAGCATTCATAGTAAAAAAAGAAAAAACCAAAAAAACCCACCCCTTTATATCCTCCATCTTTGATTACCAAAAGCATATGTAGAAGCCCCGAATGCTGCACCCACAGTTCCTGTAGCCACATTACTAAAATTAATAGGCTGTGGCCTAATACAAATTACCCTAATTTAAAATCTAAAAGTATATAGCCTATCCATTTCTAATATCACTATGAGGAATAATTATAACAAATTCTATTTGTTCATACTAAACAGACTTAAAATCATTGAGTATTCATCTGTAGCTCATACAGCATTACTAATTATAGCATTTCTCATCCAAATGCCATGAAGTTTTATAGGAGCCACAGCCCTAATAACTGCCCATGACCACACAACATCAAAATGATTTTGCCTTACAAATTCAAACTATGATTCTGGCACGGTGGCTCATGCCTGTAATCCCAGCACTTTGGGAGACTGAGGTGGGCGGATCACCTCAGGTCAGGGGTTT